CGCGCCGCCGTCGTTATGCTCGCCAATTTTAACAACGCTTTTAAGTCGCGCACGTACTTCGAATCGAAGGCATTTCTAATTCGAGCGCGAGTCGCACGCAATGCATTCTGCGTTTCGCCGGGTTTTTCGCGGTCTCGCTCGTACGTTCGGGCGATTACAGGACTCTCAGGACGCGAAAGCGACTCCGCCTCGAGTCTCCCCCGATTCGAGAACAGGTTCCCGCGCGAGAGCGTGACGTGCCAACGCGACGGGCCAACGGGCCGCCATCAAACGAAATCCGTAAAAATGAGACCATCCGGCGGCAATCGCGTTCTTTTTCCGAACTCGCTCGCTCGCTCGCGGAGTGAGTAAAGATAAAGAAATGTGCATTCCCGCGCGATACTTATCGCGCGTTTCTCTCGCGTCTCTCTCTTTTAAACGCGAAACTTTTTATCGCAAAACTGTTACGCGACTCTCGATATCGTCATCGCCCATCTGTGGCATTATTAATCGCGATCTTTCCACCTGAACCTGTACGACCTGACATCTAACCTTTGACTCGCGTGAAACCAGGTAAGATGAAAAATTCAAAGTACTCGGACTACCATTCCCTCGCGGGAAAAGTTAGCACGTTTGTTTAATTCACACAGATTCACGCGCGTTATCCATAAATTCATACACCTTGTCTCTCCGCTCTGCTTTTACCTGCGATTTCATCGAGGTAAACCCGGGCAAAGGTCCTGAAACAGTTCGCGTATTCAACTCGTTCTCTCGTACCAGCCCGGGATTTAACTTCACTCGGATTCTTATAGAAAAAAGCAGTTGAGGAAAGTGCTTCTTTCCGACTTGAAAACGGACTCGTACTTATTTAGCCGAACGCTTTCAAAACGCTGCTAAAACCAAGCAAATTTCCGCGGGCCAAGAATGGTGAAATATTTTTGCGAGGGGATTCGAACGAATTCAGCGAGAGATTTTTCCCCGCGATGTTCCCGTTTTCGCAGTTTTGATTTCGCGTCTGCGGAACCCAATCGAGGACACACGTCCTCCTCGGCGACACGAAGCTCGCGCGGTCTTACCTCGCGTCTCGCGCGCTAATCGCGCGCTCCCGACACCCACTCTCAGGGCCGTACAAACTTACCTGGCCGGTTCCCGCAGGGGCCCGTCGGAGGGATGGGTTTAAAGGGGCCGGCGGCAGGGAGCTTCGCGTGTGCCCCGACGCGGAAAGCCGGTTAGTCGGTCTCAATCCGCCGTGGCGTTCGCATTAGACAGTGTGCTCCGCTCCAACGGCTTCGCTCGGATTCTCTCTCTTTCGCGATCGCTCGCTCGCCTCGAAGTGACGGTACCCCGGTGCCGGTCCGAAGGAATTCCACAAAGGAGCCGGGAGGTTACGGAGCGGCGGCGTTTTGTCGCCATCCTTCGCTCGGGTCCTGCGGTGACCCGGCGCGCGAACGATCGCTTATTGTTTCGGTGTAATTGTTGCACACATACACGCGCGCAGGGTGTTGATACACAAGGTGCGACGACACATATACAGAGTGCACGTGACCAACAAATTCCTGCCGGAGGACGTACAAGCTGCTCCTGCGCGCACGGGGAGGGTACGTAAATTTCCGCCACTCGACTGCTGCTAATTCTCCTGACGGCGCACGCGTCCTCCGACCATTCCGGGCTCGGTCGCTGTTTATCGCCAGCGCATTGAAAACGCGCGGCGTTCAACGTCGATTATTGTTGTTTACCCCCGAGGATTGATGGCGATAATTGAGGACTGGGAAATCGCGCGCGCCCGACTTGTCACGCGTTGGATGTTGAAATCCACGTTTTCTCATTTTACTTTTCATTTTTTTTTCTTTTCTCTCCGCGGAGAACTGACCGGGGGCTCTGCACCTGGCGGAGCACACGGCCAGTTTGAAGAGGGCCAAGCCGTGAAGCCGCGCTCGTCGAATGGAGAATGACGGTTTATTATTTAGAGTGAAAGTCGTGGGACCGTGATTCTGGGACTCGCTAATTAATGCCACATGTAGGAGAAAGATTAGACGAATTAACGCGAGAATGAACCCCAAGCGAATTTTCTTTGAAGGATACGAAATTTCTGTGCGGAGAAAAATAATTTGTTGGCACGGAACCATTTTGTACCGTCGCGGCGAAATTCATCAGTTATTATGTCGACGGCAAAACAATTCGTCGAGAGCGTTAATTGCTTCGTTCGTTGGATACATCTTGCCGAATCGACAAATTATTTTGCTACAAGAACAAATTAGTAAATGTGAACGGTAAAAAATTGCGTGTTACAAACGGCCGAAATTGAAATTTTGACACGGTCGATTGATCTCTTAAATGTTTCGAGAAAGCCGTTATTATTGAACTTACGAGCCCGAGACGGTTTCGTGAACCGTCCCGTTTCGCGAGATTCTTACGTGCGCAACGTAATAACAACTGAAGCTGTTTACCGTGCCACAATACTACGCCCATCAACAGTATCTACATACATTTAACGGTCTCGACGATAATTATATCGTTGCTCGCGCATGAAGCAAAAACGGTTCGTTGAGCAAGAATCGCGCTGTTAAGGTCTATGAGCGTCGAAACCGCCTGAGAGCGTTGCTGTTCCTTCGCAGTTCAGTGAGTCCGACGTTCCGTTCCCTTTTATCGGACGAAACGACATTTCGGATTATCGCGTGTTCTCCTTGTTCCCGAAACTTCATGTTTGTAATGCTGTTTGCCGCGTTAAATGAACACGCCGAGAACAGATAACACTTTACACCGTGAGGACGAAGCGTTCCTACACAGGGAAGAAAATAGTATTCAAGACTCATATTCTCATAAACAAGCAAAAGTATATAATCTTATATCAAGATAAAACACTTGTTTTTGCACGAAAAAAAATTGACATAGAGTTCAACTAAAAATATATTCATATTATTTCAAAATAATTTTGATGAATTGAGAGGAAAAAGATATTGGATAAGGGAAGAACGATATTTTCAAGCTGATAATTATATTAGTAATTATATCCAATATTTGTCCTCTCAATTATTTTTTAATAACAGGAATATGATATTTTTAGTGGAATTGTATAGAATTTCTTCACGTAAGAACATGTTTTATCTTCATATAAGATTGTATATTTTTGCTTATACATATAGTGAAAAACCCACTTAGTTGACTCAAACGAAATGCTTGTTTAGACGAACATATATGAGAATATGAGTCTTGAGCTGATATTAATTTTTTTCCGTATAATACTTATTGTAAGCGCATTCGATTGAAATTAGAGATGTCAAAATTATCGGATTTTCTCATTAACGACATTATCACGGCCAGAGAGGGAAATAAAGATAGATAGAGAGAGAGAGAGAGGGATTCCCGCTGCCGATGTTTCGATAATGTACGCGACATGTGTTAGTAGTACACGTCCCGGCAAATTACAGTGCTGTACACTCGTAAACCGGCAGCTGCCTTCGAACGACAAGCAGCTCGTAATTGTGGTGCGCATATGTCAAAGTCAGCGAGACAGAGTGCTGATTCAATCCCGTGTCTTTCGAGAAAACTCGAACGATGATTTGTAGGTGTTTCGTCACGTTCCAGATCGGCCTCTCTCGTGTAACGTTCGCGCTTTGTGTTCCTTCCGCTGCTCTCCGAAAAAGAACAAAAAAAAGGAAGACAGGAAATCCCCCCCGATCATATATTATGTAGCATATTTCTCTCTCTCGCCGGCGGGGCAATCTATTATTTTCATTTAACACCGGCGATACGTAATTGTACCGCGATACAGTCATCACGCGCCGGAGAGTCAGCGCGCGCCCGTTAATTACCGCGCGATCAACGGTGGAGCAGCGCGCTACCGCGCGAACGAGTTCACCGCTTCTTCCTCGCGTCTATCATCGGGCATCAGGAGGGCCAGGATTAACGATAGTTTTCGTTTTCGTTGCTATCAACAATGGAGCTATTACGGCGACCATGACTGCGCAAGTTGGGAACGGGCGAGAGGAGGGGTGGNGGGGGGGTCTAACGGCGTTGCAACCCACTTCTCTCTCGTTTTACCGCTAAATTTGGATTAACCCGATTCGCCGTGCGAACATTCCCAAAGCTCATTCAAGTCTCGCGAGAGAAGAAGAGCGCCCGGTCCGTGACGGGGGTGAGGCGCCAGGCGGGGGTGGATGAAAAAGAAGCAACTCGCGAGACAGGCTGCCTACCGTTAATCTGACGTTAATGCGGCTCGCTGCATTAGTCTCGCGTTATGCGAGATGCAAATGCGAGTCGCGGTAGCGCGCGCGTCATGAGGGGAACTTTTTGTTGCTGAACCAGCTACCGCTCTTTCTTGCCGCTCGCGCGGCATGCCCGCCGATGAACCGTGCGGTGTCGAATCAATCGACGCGTTAATGAATTAGCGCGTCGCAGGGAGCCGCGTCCGTGGCGAGAAAACGCGAGCGAGAGAAGAACGACCTCGCGATTCTCCGCTTTAACGAGTAGAAATCGACGAAAACAATCGCGTATCTCGGCTCGCGCCTGACGAATGTGGCAACGATGGTTTCGCTACACAGCAAAATTATTTTTCTCCGCTCGCGCGCACCGCAGAACCATATATTTCGACCCCGCGTTAGTGATATCTCCCACTTTCTCACTTGAGGCATTGGTAAATCGTAACGTGAAATCCATACTTCAATATTGAATTAGTACCTCGCCAGTCTCGAGTACTGGCCGAACGCTTACGATTCCCTACGTGTTAGTGGGAATTCTGAAAACCTGCCGAACGTCTCTCGGCTGTCCGCATGTGCACGTCTCATTCTCTCCGCGAGAGACCGTAATGAACCAGCATCACCCTTGCAGGCAAAACCAGAAGATTACGGTCGGCTCGCAACGTTAAAACGCATCTTGCCCGATCGACGACTCGCATTCCACGCTAAGCCGCACGAGCTACATTTATCTACGTTTATTCAAAAACGCAACACGAACTCATCTCGGAATCCCTCGTTTCTTGTCGCGCTCTTCCTTTGAGAAAACACCGTCCAAATTGCCGAATCATGGAAGAAGGAGCCTCGAGCAGAGGAGACGCTCCGGGAGACGCGAGCTACGTCGCTCGATTTCGCCGGAGCTGCCGCAACCGTCGCTCGCACGACGAAGTCGCGGAGCTGGCGGCCGAGCTGCAGCGCGCCTACGCGGCGAAGGAACTGCGGGCTCAGCTGGAGGAGAAGCAGTGCCGCAGACAGGCCGAGCTGATGCAAGAGCGCGAGTGCGCGGAATTAGCGCGTCGGCAGCGAGAGGCGTCGGAGGAGGAGGATCTCCGGCGCCGCGCGGATATCCTGCGTAGGAGCGAGGAATACAAACGGCAGCTGGACGAGCAATTGACGCGGAAAGAGGAAGAGCGGAGGGTCCTCGCGGAGGAGGCTCGCGAGTACAGGAGGACGCTGGAGGAGTTGGATCACGCGCAGGAGGAGCGCGAGCGCTCGAGGGCGCTGGAGAAGAAATGCGAGCTCGTGGAGAAGACGAGGCGGGAGCGACTGATCCTCGAGGAGACGAAGGAGGCGCGTCGACAGGAGGAGCGCCTGGCGGAAGAGAGGCAACGCCGGCAGGAGCTCGAGTACTTGAAGGAGATGGACGAGAGATCGGAGGAGGTGAAGAGGCTGCAACGGGAGCAGATTGAGAGGCGCGAGGGTGTCCTGCTGGAAGCCACGAGGATGATCTTGGACGCGGAGGCGCGCAAGCGGGAGAGGGAGGAGCGTCTCTTCGACCTCGTGCTGGAGGAGATTAGATGCGAGCTCGTGATCAGGGAGCGGGAGCAAGCGGCGCGCAGGAGGAGAATGCGGCGGGAGCTGGCGGCCGGTTTGGAAGAGCAGATAGTCCTCACGGAGCAATGCAAGCGGCGTTTCGCGGAGGAGGATAGGGCCTGGGCTGAGGACGTCATGAGGAAGATTATGGAGGACGAGAGGCTGGCGAGGTGCACGGCGGAGGCGAGGAGGAGGATGAGAGTGCAGTACCGGCAGGACCTGGAGAATTTGATTGCCCAGCGCCGCAGGATTCGCGAGCAAGAGATTGCTAAGATGGAGGAGAGCATCAGGGAGGAACAGAGGCTGGCGTTACTCGAGGCGGAGTGCGCGAAGGAGCAGAGGAGGCGGTTATTGACGGTGCACGCGGCCGATATCGCGCCGTTTGTGAACCGCGCCGCTCTCACGGCAGAGGAGCGACGAATCCTCGACGAGTCGAGCAAGGAAAATCCGGACTCCGGGAACGTCGTTGACGCCGCCGGCGAGGGAAACTTAAGAACTGATGACGAGGGTATGAGGAGGACATAGGGATCGCGATGTGGCGGATGTTATTGCGTCGGTAACATCGTAAATGATTCAACGGGGCGACAGAGTTCATAGATAAGGGACTTATACCCGCAAGACGAAGAATACGGTAGTAGGGAGGCGTCAGAATAATCGAGGAAACGGACGGCCCGAAAGGGGTAAAAATAATTGAGATGTTGGAGCGCTTGCAACAAGCGTGCCGGCGAGCGGGACAAGAAATTGAGGGAAAATGACGGAGCCGCGAATTGGGAGAGTTTTATTTAGTACGTGAAAAAAATATCGATCGGAAAAGAGCCGTTAGGAGAAACGTAACAATGAGATGAGTAAGATGAAAGGAAAAACGTCGAAACGTCAACTGGAGGAAACCGGTAAAACTAGCCGCGGAGAGAGAGAGAGAGAGAGAGAGAGAAAATTATCTTCGAGAGGATAAAATCGAAGATGAAATGTAAAGCGAGGAGATTAACGATCACTCGTGGAGCGGCATTTTGCGAGAGAAATTTTATTAAAATCAAAGAAATCCTTTCCTCTCTGTATTCAATACGAAATGTGTTGCGAAACTCATCGAAGAAAAAGTTTTGTAATCTTCTTGTGACCGCTTATACCTGTAATCTCATTCGCGTGTATTTTTTATATATGATGTTATATCCAAAAAGAAAGTAATAACTTTCGAGGGACATCGGAGAATCGGATTTTGGCGAGCGCAATAACCAGCGGTTGAAAGGAACGGAAATGTTTTGTCGAGCAGGATGAGAGTCCCCCGTAAGAAGGTCACGGGCGAGGCACGAAGGATGGGAGAAATGGCCGGAAATTGTGGCGGAAGTTAAAAACCGACCAAGAGTCTCAATGCCGAAGGTTTCTTTACGCGTGCGTGCGAGTAAACTATGCCGTAAGATCTGCCGAGGCGGGTTCGTCGGAACAACGAAGAAACGGGAAACGCTACAATTTGTGGATGTAAAATTCAAAGAATCCGCTGTACGTGATCCGTCCTCGCGTTCACAACGTCGGAGGAGGAACGGCAAGGAAGAAATAAATTAACGGATACATTGTGTGGAGAAAGAGAGAGAGAGAGAGAGAGAGAAATACCATTACGTAACTGCCAGACCTTATTTGTTATTTAGACCGTTCGTCATCGTTAAATCCCGTCGTCTGGCTTGTTGCATAAATATGATTCACTTACAACACGTAAAATATATCACCTAATATTGATACGAGAAATAAACATCGGGACTTCAATTAAGACGGAGGAGTAGCTTAATTACACGTTACGCGCTCGTGGGCTCCCATTCGCTGCGTAGCCAATGCGCGGAGGTGCGCAGCCGCGCGTCTTTTGATTAAATCACAAATTATCGTCCCGATGCAACAACTCCTAACGCGCTTAACGCTTTTGCAATTACGGGAGAATTATTTCGCCCAGCGAGAACGTATTGAGTCGAGGGCGAGAGCGTACTTTGTAAACGTAAGAAAGTTCAGCGAGCGCCGTAATACATTCTAATGTATTGAAATTACAGTGACTATCGATCGATACTTGATTTTTCCTGTTATCGAAACCTTAAATTATTGTCAGCGCAGGGTACACAGTGTTGTGAGGCGGCGCAGCTCTCGTGTGGAAAAACATGACTGACATATAAATTACGTATAATATTCTCTTAATGCTCTCTCCATCCTGTTGGATATTAATCAAGGCGTCAGATAAGGATATAATAAACGCTGAGAAATTGCGTGTTCTGGCAATCTATAAAACTTAAGTATCGGGGAAACAGTGTGGATGTAATTATTATACCCGAAGGAGAAATTGGATGCTCGTAATTACGGTGTAATATTAGATTAATGCTCTCAAAGATGGATTCTGTGCCTCCATTGTCATTTAGTATCGCGATGTCATTTCGTAGCGCGTCTGTTCCAAAGTGGTTAAACCGATACGGCGATTCCCTTGCATAATCAATACGTATAATTGTATTTTGCAAATCACGTTCTAAAATGCAACACACACTAAAACACCTTGTGTTTAAAAGAATTTATTGAAATTTTATATTACTTTAACATGAGAAATGTATTAAAAAATACACAACTACAATATTAAATTGACACATTTTCCATGTTAAAGTGACACAAAATTTCAGTGGATCGTTTTTAATATAAAATTTTCTACTGTACACATCATTTTGCACGTCATTTGTCACGCGTTTGCATAGAAGTGCTTCGAGCTGCAATGTTTAAAATTCAGAACGAAGATCCATACCCTCGTAATCTTCTGACCGGAAGAGAAAATGGTTAAGTAACACTTTCGGACGGAAGACACGGGTAATGATTTTTGAAATGTCTGCAAGGTGTTACCAGGCAGGGTCTTTGCCGAACGTTTAGACCGAGCCAGCGCCGATGTACTCTCCGAGCACCTGTCGCCAGGTGTTACCTGTCTGTTAGAACGTCCAAAGATTTCCCATGAGAGGTGCCGCTCGAGCAATTTCCAAGAAACCCGCGCACGAGGTACTAAACATCTCGTCCGAACTTGGACGGTATAACATAGAACCAGAAAATTTGCGTATAGACGTATGAGAAAGTATCATTCGTGACGAAACTGATTAAAGTAATTAAATAAATAAATACATAAAATTTGTATATTCGGAATTCAATAATTTCTCTTAGATTCCTATCGCTTATTTGTTTTTCCACTTGCATAAGTCCCAGTCTCATTCGCGCGCAGCACGAGCGTCGCACGTTCGCTCAATTAATTTTATTCGCGTTGTTATCCTTAAGACATGTTGAAATGTAATTTCATCGAAACGTGAAATAAACACGGATGTTCGCCGGGAATTAATGAAACTGACTTTGTTGTGTCGCCACGCTACATGAAAATATCTCATTACAGGAGATATAAATAGAATAAAAAGAGGTACACAGATAAGTTAGATGCTTTAGATAAGCGTAACTGTCACAAACACTTAGAGCGTTCGTATTAATTAAAGGTAGGTCAGAATCGGATCTCGACACCGCCGGCTATAATTAAATGCGGTCGTTACGGAGATTCGACACCGCTACCCGAGCTCCACTCTCCCGTGGCGCCTCGATGTCAATTTCGAAATTTATCAGATATCGAGATTCTTCTCGTAATTGAGTAGTGACTTTCCGTGTTCTTTCGAGAGCGACAGCGCGTTTGGTTTCGCAATAATTCCATAATCATATCTATATTTGTGCGATCGCGCGATATTTTATGTAACTATTCGCTTTCGACGTATGTCGAGAATGAGAGAGGCTGGGGGGAAGAAATAATACTACAGGAAGCCATTGAGGTTTCCTCGTTAGATGTCATTTTATCGTCGAGACGAAGCAAAATAGACGCGCAGCCGCGCGCGGCGTACGGAATCATTAATATCCCGGATGAAATATATAGGAGCGACTTTTCGATCACACTATCGCATCCAATCGCGGGAAACTAGTTACATCGCGTGTAATAAGTCTGTCGATCAGGCCGGCGCGACGGAATCGGTAGATGAGCGCTCACGAGGTATGCGCGGCAGAGAAACGGAAACGCGACATTATAAACACGTCCCGCGCGTCGAGCTATTATCGCCTCGAAAGAATGGCATCTAGGAATTCGCCGCTTGTCACCGGTGCTTTCGCTTAACGAGCGTTAATTCGACAATAAGTTCATCCCGGCCTGGTGTCGTCCGTCTCCTTGACGCGTTCCTCGGCCGACTTCGAACTTAATCTTCGCAAAATTACGCTTTAATAACGACCTTCCGTTTTCTTCTCTTTTATAAATTTATGTTTGTCATGCTGCTCGAATTATCGCGTAATTGTCACGATGGTTTTCAAAATTACGTGCATGCGCCGTAATATTAATCAAAATCCTCGTTATCGTAAATAAAATTACAGATGTTTAGAGGAAAAACCAACAGCACACTACACATCACGGATACCAAGAAAGGTTTCAGACACCTTGTATGCGTAAATTAAGCATTTTGTCCGGGGGGGAGGGGGAGGCTTGGTGTTTTCCCTTTACTCTGAGGATCTTTTAATGATTAAGTTGTATGTCCTGTTTCGTGAGATTCTCGCCGAGAGCGGTGACGAATTAAAAATTCACGCTGATGCTCGGATAAGCTACCGTGTAACGATTAAAGCCGCATACATATATAACGTTCGACAATGAAAAGATTGATCACCCGAGACGCAGATCACACGGGTAATGAATTACTGCAAGAAGTTCATCAGGGAAATTGAGTTGTCAGTGTTCTCCTTGGATCGAGGATTTTTCTGGCGAGTTCACGGCTGGTCGATACCTGCATATAGATACTTTACTTCTTAACACCTTGTTAAATTTTTGGGTCGGCCGCTGCTAAAGAGAAAGAGAAAGAGGGAAAAGAATGAAAGAAAAGGGACCGAAACCTATGCGAATATAGCCGCATCGGAGTCGCGCCGGGGCAACGAAACTTTTAATCAGCGGAAACGGGCGATCGGTCTCGTAACGGATTCGAGGTCTCGTGATTCATTTCGATGGTATAACGATGGTATAACGAGTCCCGTTAGGCGGGATTATTCGTAACGTGAGACACGATATTCTCTCTCTCTCTCTCTCTCTCTCTCTCTTGCTCCTTTTTTTCTCTTTCCGTTGCTCGCGGTTCTCGACCGAGCGGGTTTTTCGAGGATCTTCAGTGCTTGTCACGAGAGAACAGTCTTTTGTGCCCCGCGAAATTGACTTGCGCGGAGCAGTCTGCATACACACATACAGAGAGAGAGAAAGAGAGAAAGAGAGAGAGAGAAAGAGATCCCCAATTGTGTTCCACTACATTTTGTATTTGTTTATATTGTTTTTTATTGTTGATGCACAGTATACTGTTATTATTATTATAAAGTTTCGTTCACTGAAAAACGCTTTGATCGGCGGTACGTGAGAAATGCGAACGGCGACTGAATGCACGTGAACGCCGGTGATCGCCGGCGTATTGTGTCACGTGCGCGCGCGGCGAAGAGCGCGGCCGAGCGATGTATACATTATTATTAATTAA